ACTAGTATTTGCCGTAAAAGAACAATGGCGAGTGTCAGAAGTGAAAACTATCCCAATTGTACTATCAACAACTAGCGTGATACCAAAAACTCTCTGCAGATAGCTGGAAGAACTCTACTTGGAGAAGAGCATTATCATCGGCCTCCAAAAATCGGTTATAATCAGTACCTGCTCAGTAGTCAGGAGATTCATGGGAGAACATGTTGGGTTTTGAAAGCTCATTCTTGAAATTGGATTTGTTATTAGCATTTGAAAACTGTTATTTTATGTTTACAATCTGAAAACAGTTATTTTATGTTTATATGTTAGAATGCCCTAATTTGTGTTGTAGATTTTAAATATGTCTGTGTTACCATGCTTTGATATTGTATCTGTGTGGTATCCATGTGAAACCAAAAACTTTGAAAATAAATAATAATAATAATAATAATAATAATAATAATAATAATAATAATAATACAAATGAATCGCTTGTCGCAAAAACAACTCATCTTTTTTTCTATTTGTCATTTTTAATTTACAAATATTTATTTTTTACAGATTTTGAGTTGTAAAGTAATTCGGTGTTTTCCTTCTCCTATAAAGTTGTCGAGAGCGGACTTGAGGAGTTACTGCTTCAAGCAATTCGAATGGTTAGTGACTGTTCGAAGAACTGATTACCCCAGCAGTGAATCTATTCCCTCTAGTTCCGTATATCCTGCAAGATGTGCAGTCCAGTTCTTTGAGCAGTCAGACAATCGTAAAATTACTTCTAGTAAATAATTAAGGGGTTCAGTTGTTGGCGATTGTTAAACGGAAAACATATTTCCATGGAATTGTCAAAATTTCATACTTTCACATGTGAAATAGTAAATTATTATTATTGTTATTATATTTTTATTATTATTATTATTATTATTATTATTATTATTATTATTATTATTATTGTATTCCAGTGTAGTCGATCACTACATTGAGAGAAGTGACATTTCATTATACTAGAGAAGACCAATTCACGTATCATTAGAATCAATAATAATTTAGTCCATTAGATGTTAAAGAGCTGCTAACATGCTCAAGTACTTGATTTCCAAGCATCATAGTCTTTCTGTTCCACTTTCTAATCCTCCTTTTTATTCCAACTTTTCCCTTCGTTCTATTCATATTTCTTGTTATTTTCCCACTATCGGGGTAGTCCAGAATAAATTTAACTTCTAAGGTTTGAATTACGCTTGAAAATATTTACATTTTGTCAATAAAGATTTGGTGATAAATTTCATATTATAAAGTTTTTTTTCCCATCCAATTTTGACATTACATTCCTGGCAATTGATTGCACATTGGAGTTTGAGAAGTACATGAACTTTCAGAGACTGACTTTCCCATTGGTAACAGCAATAACCACCTCTACATGCCCAAGAAATTTGGCACATTCATTCTACACCTTTCTGCAAAGTGAAAAAGGTTTTTAATTATGTATGTTCCATTTCAACTTAATTTATATGCAAAATGATCTTCCATCTCTGAATATTTTCGAGAGCAAAATTTATTGAAATGGAGAAGAGCCTCTGTCAAAAAAATCACTCTTTAAAAGAATTTAACTCTTAATAGTTTAGTATTAAACAAAAGCAACACTAACTTGCGCAAACAATTTTTTTTGAGTGTTATGTTGCATGTAAAGCACATAACGTGAATCATTATGGGCTCTTCACAGAAACAAATTGGGTTTCAGAGTGAGGCCCTTTGCATATCTTCAATAAACATTTTAGGAAAACAGCAAAAAATAAGAACAGAACGGATTCAAGATGTTATTCAAAGAAATTGAAAGTCACCACTGCTTTGAATCAAATCGAAAGCTACAAAGGACATGGTTCCACCAACTCTTTTTGTCAGAGGAGAGAGTCTCCTCTCAAATAGAGCACAAAAGCATAAAGCTACGAAGTGGCTGTGGAAACCCAAGAAGGCACACAATGGGACATCAGCAGGTCACCGAGGTTAAAAAGATCATAAATAGAATTTCACGTCACTTTAACAAACGTACGACTTTGGAGCAAGATTCTCAGCGGGCCATCATTAGCATTGAAACTTTTGACATCCCTCGATGCATGAAAGAGAAGTCGAAGCTGCGGTTGCATCCATTTGGGACGTGAATACACGAGTTCGCCGCTGTGCGCGTGCGGCTGTGTGATTGAGCAAACAATTCGCAATTGACTTGTGCATCCGAATGTAGAACTAGATAGATATACTGTTTTTTCTTGAGGGTATCAAGCAACGCGGGGGCGGTGAGCAAATATTGGAAAACAAAAACGTTCAAGGTTATAATTATCATGAATATGTTTTCACTTCAGATATATTTTACTTAAGAAAGTAGTTAATTAAATAATAATTTTTAATTCCCTGTTATAGTAGTAAAAATAATTTAATTTATAGCCACCACAATAATTTCCTGTAAAGACATGATATTCCTCAAAACATGAAAGCTTTAATGCTGAATCCTTCTAGTAATGTAAATCTAGTTTAATACAAGTGATAATAAATAAGGAGGTAAAGAATATGCTAAAATCATCAAAATCATTATTGTCATTTATCTTTCGTTTATGTTGATTAAGAAATTTGCAATTATAAAGTCTAAACATTACAATTTTCGTGGTAAAAACGGATAGATATTTTTATTTAATTTATACTAATACATTTTTTCCAATTTGTTAATATAAAATGAATCAGGATATAAACGTTGATACAATTAACGGCATTTCCTGTTCTTTTGAATATGATAATATTTCTTACTATTTCGTACAACGATGTAAAAACTATAATTTATCATGACATGCTCTAATATGTATTACCGCTACCGTTTAAGAGCTAAATGAAAACGCTATATTAACGGAAAACTAGGTGGAATAGGAAATTATAATTTAGAGTAGATTAACCACAAGCTAGTTAGAAATTGAATTACGCTGCATTCTCGTACTCTCCATAAAATAACTCCCAATAATTCAGATTACCTCATATGTTCACAGAGCAAGAACTGGAACCTGAACGCGTAAATTCTAGATTAACATGGCTGGGATGATGATTACACTGCATTGCATTATCTCATTTGACATGGACATTAACACCAGATTACAGGCCGTCTCTTGCAAATGCACTGAATTAAAGTGTAAAGAGAAGAGGATCAGCGAGTAATGTGGGACATGACGGAGAACAAAATTTATTGAGAATTACGTCGAGATTTATCGAAGCTGCTGTACGCGTGGCAACTCTAGGAAGAGGTGCGAGTCGGTTGTGACACGTAAACCAATAGGACTGACACTTTCAGAAAAATATTGTAATTTAAAATAAGACAAATATAACGGAAAAAACATTATTGTATTAAATATCCGAGTGTGAGATAAAGTTAACTAATAGTGGTTTCAATTCTTTAAATTTTATAATGAAAGTGTAAGATACTACTATTTTGGAGAAAAAATTAAGTTTAATTATAATGGATTACTACTTAAGGATGCTTTCTAAAGAACGGATAAAAATGTAGAAGAGTTATAATAAGTCTCCACATAAATGCAGTTACAGGCAAATTATCACAATTGTTAATGAATAACTGCCTAATTTTCGAATATTGTGTTACAGCCTAACTTTCGAATATTTTAAATGTATTTATTATTTTCGTTATTTTGAAATAAAACACGTTTAATGATGGACAAAAGCATGGAATAGATTTAAAAAATACTAATATAATGTATCTATGGGATAATAAAAACAGTGAAAAAGAATCATAGACAATTCATAGATCTTTTTGTGAACGAAGTAATCCTAAAGACTGCCAAATTAATATTTAACTTTGTGCTATTGAATTACAATCGGTGACGCATTCTTAAATTTTCCATTACTAGAACGTTCAATTTTGTTAGACGACATAATATAACAAAATACAACAGACTGCTAAAAATAAAAATAGTAATTTTGTTCTGACGCGTTGTGGTACCACTACACCCCAGCAAATCTATTATAATTTTTAATTTATAAAACGATGTTCCACTTAGTACCTTACCAACCAGATTACAGCTTGATCTGAATTTCAATGCACATATTTTCATTTAACCCTTCTAGATTTTTATGGAGTTTTCATGTATTTCGAGTGCGTAATAATATGACAATTTTATCGCGAGCTCACATTTTGATATATGTGTAGAGCTAATGTATGCCAAGCTAATCAACTATGCGATAATCAAATGCGTTCCCTCCAAGAAAGCTAGATGTATATTCATGACGGCGGTAGGTAACACTTGAAATTCACCACACACTTATTATCAGCTCACGCTCGGAAAATAATGGGTATTATCACGTCAAGGAGTAATTAGCAATTTTATTTTCAAGATATACGAACTTAAAATTAAATTTCAAGAAAATACTTTTAATTCATTTTAATATTTATAGATGGTCACATTTTTAAAGAATGCGACGAATCGCAAATTTTCTCACCGAACTGCCTAACCAAGTGAATTATAGTTATTCCATGGACGAATAATGCATATTTTGATCTAAATGAGAAAATAAATCATATTTTTCATATTTCGTAGTTCTTAAAAACACGGTATTTTTCACGGAGAGTCTAATAATTTTCCGTGATTAATTTTACCCAAAACAGTCAGCGAATTGCCACATCTGAAAATAAATGTACAAGCAATAAGACAATTCGCACTAACACTATCAATTGAAACCACTATTACTTAACTTTTTCTCACACTTGGATATTTAATACAATACATATACTAATTTTACAACAGTGTTTAGTCAAAAATCACTCTGCCACATAACACAGCTTCCACCATATGCTCGTCGTTTTAGACCATGTTGAAAAGAAAGATTAAATAAATCAGGATTCTACTCTAAATAATGCCGTGATGAAATAAATTGACAGCTGCTACTGCTTGTCGTTGCAATCGACGTGAGTGTAACTTTTGAATTCGAAATAGGTTCGAGTGAACAAATATATCTACGAGAGAGTGTGAACAACGAATAATAAGTTCTGAGAAATTTATTGGACACTATTTCACTTTCTATTTTGTTGAAACATTTATAGTCTCTTCTCTTTTACATTAAAATACTTGAAAATATGTATTTTTCATTTAATTGACCTTCAAAAACCCAGTGACCTCATGCGAGCATTGAAACAAGGATCATAATACCGCCCAGATATCGAGCATTCTCAGACTGTAGAACTTAATACAAAAAAATATGAGAGCTATTGAGACGGAGCTCATTGTTTTGTATTTTTACGCACAAACATCGTTTCTAAGAAAACATAAGCTAACAAATTGCTTAAAAGTGCTCCAAAGACCATTTGAGAGACTCATTTTCGATTCTTAATCAGATGAAATCCAACTGTAAATTACTAACACGGTATATCAATCCTGAACAAATTCGTAAAAAATAAATATTTTTGAAATGGTTTCTAATTACATTCAAAAGTTTTGTTACGTGTTTACTATGCATGTAAATGTATGTACTGAGTACCAAAGATGAGGTATTTTAATGATTATTCAAAATGTTCCCAAAATTAAAATGTTCTAGAAAATTGGTTTAGTTCTTTATCAAAATGAAACAACAAATCAGACTTATTATAAGAAAGCGACTAAAAAAAATGTTTATATTATCCATTTACATGCATATTAATTATACCAATTTGATTCACTGCAAAATTGTCATTTCATTTAAAAGTATTATATTCTGTATTACATGGTAGCATTATCATGTTCACTTCTGTGTTTAATGTTTTCCATCAACATAACGTAAATTAGCCAATTTTAATTTTAATTTAACAATACTTTCTAAGCTTCTTTTATAGATACAGAACTGTTTATAATTTCCACGCTTTTTAAATTTTATAAATTACACGTAATTAAGGTTTTATCTTCGACTCGTAAAATTGTGGAGTTCTTCACAATCAAAACAATTTTATATAATTTAGGGTCGTAAATCTCCCTGTAACTCGCAGAAAGTTAATTATGATCGTGCAATTGTTAAGAGAACAATGGCAGTCATAAGGGTTTTCATTTTAAAATTACATTTAATTTTTTAATCGTTAGGCAACTGGCCCGGAGGAAAGGGCAAATTTGATAAGTAGTGTGAAAGAAAGGACATTTGGTAATCACAGTTCCCAGCAGATAATATTTGGTTTACGGGTAGTCAAGAGATCAAGCGCAGTGAATTCGACATTTTCATAATTAAATACAAATGGTGTGGATTGTTTATTGTGTATATTAAGACGAAAGGTAGTCAGCCATCTTTCGTCCAATTATTATTATGATATGCGATCAAATTCCCGAAACAAAATAAACTTTTCGATGAACATACTGGAAGAGAAATGCTAAAATCAATTCATATCATAAGTTATTATCTTTGTTGAATTACCGGTTCCATATGTTGTCTTTATTGAAAAAATAGCAATATGATAAAAATATGATTTATAAAAAAAAATGTTAGTTTGAACATAATACTTATGAGCCAGTATGCTCTAAGTATGATTCAGTAATTTATGCATGGTGTATTAAAAATGATTTTTAAATCTTTAAAATTTCAATGTAATTTTCCTTTAAAAAATACTTTTAAAAGATTTTTGTTAATAGAGGACTTGTTTAACTCTTCACACTTTTTATCAAATAATATTAATTCGCAGATTTAGCAAGGCAGGCTTGGGTCTGAAAATCCTACTCCTCAGGTCACTTGTATAGAAAGAAGCTACAGGCAAAACCAGCACGAAGAATAAGTGACATTTTCTAGCAAATATTAATTCGTTGTGCTCTGAGGCATGATTTAAAAAAATGTTACTGAAGAGTTTGCTAGACATTTTTTTTTCGTCTAATGCATGTAAATTATCAGGGATGTAAAGTTAGAATGTTTGTGATCGTCTCATCATAAAGTCTTCATACATCTTGATTGGAATAGAGGACTGCCATTAAGTGATTCTCCTTACGCCGTTTTTTGAATTTATTGAAATATCCAGATATATAAATGCTATTTGAAATGACTCATTCTAAAGAATATTCTGGAATGTATTTTATACTGTACTTGACTTCACAGCAATTACAAATCCAACTGTTTCTTTGTCTTTTACTCTTCCCGGAGTAAATATCTTCATTTATGAGAAGTTAGTGACCACTTGTATTAGAAAGCAGAACACAAATATAACCCATTAGGTCAGGTTTCATTAGCGAGAGGAATCTTATTTATCTTAGTAAGTATCTAAGTAATTTGTTTAAGAATGGGAAAGGAGAAAGCTTCAGAGAAGGAGAATATAAAGGCACAGAAAGAAGAGAATAAGAAGATGTAGCGAAAAAGTGAAAGGGGAGGGAGAAGAAGTGAAAAGTAAAAAGGCGACGTGAAAGAGGAGGAGGAAGAAGAGAAAGAGGGTAGAGAAGATGAATTGGATGATTAGGAGCAGACGGAGGAAGAAGAAAAATTAAGAAGAGGTGCAATAAGAGCAGGAAGAAGTAGATGTAGATGCGGAAGAAGAAGAGATGGCAGCACGGGAGAGTGCGATCCTTGCGTGAGAGTAGATACATTGGAATAAAGGAAGAGACATAGGAAGTGGAAATAAAAAAGACGAAAAGAGGAGTAAGTGAAAAAAGCGGGACGAGAAGGATGGCGAAGCGGATGAACAAAACCAAGCAGAAGAGGGGAGCACGGAAGCTAGCGCAAACCTGGCGTAAAGGAAGGTAAATTGAATGAAAAGGAAGAGACAGAGGAAGAAGAAAAGGAAAGAGATGTTGGAAGAAGAGCAGGAAGAGAAGGCTGAAGAAGAAGAAGAGTGGGAAGCACGGATAGTAAGAGGGAAACTGGCGTAAGAGAAGATCAATTGGAGGAAAGGAAGGGACAGAGAAAGAATAACAAGAAAGACGTGGAAGAAGAGCAGGGCGATGGAGCGGAAAAGAAGGAGAAGGAGGAGGAGAAGAAAAAGAAGAAGAAGTTGTGGGAAGCACTTGAAGAGAGCTCGTACCTAGCGCACGAGATGATAAATTCATCGAAAGGAAGAGAGGAAGAAAGGAAGAGAGGAAGAGAGGAAGAGAGGAAGAGAGGAAGAGAGGAAGAGAGGAAGAGAGGAAGAGAGGCAGAGAGGCAGAGAGGAAGAGAGGAAGAGAGGAAGAAGAAGAAGAAGAAGAAGAAGAGCGCGTACCTGGTGTAGTAGTGCTGCGGGCGGGCCTGTCGCAGGGCGGCGGGCAGGAAGCCGAGACCTGACTTGAGGCAGCGCACGGTGAGGCGGTGCCTGCGCGGCATCTCGTCGCCGTCGCCGTCCTCGTCGTCGGCCTCGCAGCGCGGGCAGCCGGGCGGCGCGGGGGTGGTGGCGGTGGCGCCCGGGGTGCGGCCGAGGCGGCGGTAGCGAGGGCCCCCGTCGGCGGCGTCGGCGGCGCGCGCCTCGGGCCGGAAGCGGCGCAGCAGCAGCGCGCCGCCC